CTTTAAAGGAGGCCTTCCGTGGTCAAGTTCAAAGGCAGGTGGAACGTTTTTTCCACCCAGGGTGACCACTACAATGCTGAAATTTACACTGAAGTAGTTCAGATTGGAGCACAACATTAGCTGTTGGTGCACAGAAGTGATGTCATCATCCTGCAAAATAAAATGCTGCTAATGCTGCTGAAGACGGCAAAGGTTAAAATTCAACATGTGTTATGGTCTGGCACTTTGAAGTGTAGCTCAGTCACCAGCATCAGCTGCAAATTTGACGTTATGTAGGGAGCAGGTTTAGCAGCATTGGAGGTTGCTTTTGTCGCAGGATGATGACATCATAAAAGATGTGCACCAACAGCAAAGACTGTATTTCAATATAAAATACTTAGGGAGATAAATCATGCTTTTAAATCCTTCTTCCGTTGGGGTCCATATAAAAAGGAACTGCAATGATTTGGTCTGAATTCCTCCTTATTGTAACTTCACAAGCCCCCTTTGTACCCCTTTTCTGAGGTGTCTCAGATTAACATTTAGTAAAAACAAGGAAAATATGAGAACAGTGAGCTTCATAACAATTAAATATTAATGGAATTTTTAGGTTTTTACACTTAGAAAGTGAGCTAAATAATGAAAATGTGTTTGTGCCATTTTAAACATTTTATTTTACTCTTGGCACCCTACTGATACAGCTGTAGTCTATTTTTTTTACAAAAATCTAATTGCTCTAAAGACAAAATAAGCCATTCTAGCAGGAACATGTAGCAGTTTATTGCAGCAATGAGGTACACCATGGAGGGGTGAGAACTTGTACTTTCTCCAGGAATCCAGCTCAGCTCCCCATCATTGACTGATGAAGACTATTTAAGCCACAGGAGAGGACACGTTGACCAGGATGATRTGCTGCTGCAGAGGGAAGATCGGCCAAACAAGCAAGGGGACAGAAAATAAAATCCCTTGTAGTCATTCAGAGGAACCTGAGGTTGCCGTTTTATGGTAACTGCAATTAGCCACTAATTTCTACTTGGTAGCGGCACGAAGAGAAAAGGTAATAATTCCAATCATGAACTGCTTTTACTGGCTGCACGTGGCCTCACATCACGACTTTGGCTCTAACCACCACCCAGAAATGAGATGCAGGTGTTTAGCGCTACGGCTGGCAGGTACAGCCAGCTGAGGATTCCTTCTCTCGGGCTGGTGATTAAAGCTGCAGCCGGCAGCCGACCAGCACTTCACAGCTAGCCGAGGCTCTGTGCTCCCGAGGCAGTGCTTAGAACACAATCAGAGCAGGCAGCCGCTTAAAGAATTCATTGTTGCCATGTCAGTCAATTTCTAATTGTAAACCAAGAGCGTGGACCAGAGTGAGTGCGTGCAGAGTGGGAGAAAAGAAGAGAAAGTGCAACAACCTGGAGATAAACTTTGAGACATTGTGGCGTTTCAAACTTTTCTTTTGGACCGGCACACATAAAGCAAAAACATTTTTTTTATGTGAGCAGCTGAAGTTGACGTGTTTGAGTAGAATACAATTTTATAAGTAAATGTGCTACAAAAGCGACAGCAATTAATGAAACACTTTTWTGTCTGATTCAGACTTTTTTGCCTCCTGACAACAAATCTGTGTAAGTGAGAATCTTATTATTATTAGGAATTCTGTCGTGCTAATCTTCATTTTATGAGCTGATGTTTGAGCTGAAGATTTCAGCATCACTACTTTCTTTTACATGAACATTATTATTGTGAGCTACGACCCTGACAGAGTTTAAATGTAAAACCGTGTACAACTCAAGTCATATTCAGTTAAATTTTGCAGGTGATTAGGTAATAACTGCCAAAACTAATGAACACTAATAATAAACCAAATGAATAAAGCAGGTATTTTGGATCTAACATGAAAAACTGTAAATTTTAAGATGCCTAATTAATTACTGGATGAAAAAAATCCACCTAGAAACAAATAAAAATAAAAATATTAAGGCATGAGAATATTTCTGCAAGTATTACTGATGCAAAAAGTCCTTTTAGAATGCTTTAAACTTGTTTTTCTTCACTACAAGTAATGAAAAACCCCAGCCTTAATTCAGCATATTTTCAGTCCTAGAAACAAAAATAAAGCAGTCACTGTTTTTTTTCTTATTCAAATAACCACCCAAAGCAATGCCCTGCATGCCTGTTGTTGTGTGATCAGAAAGCCTGCACATCAAACTGCTCTCTAGGGAAGCCTTTCTGGCCATCTTTCAGAGCTATTCTCTAATTATCAATTGTTATGAGTGTTTGGGGTGACATTTAGATAAGAAAGAGTTTCATCATGTAAGCATTTCTTTTTGTTTTTCATTAATCCTCGGCTTGAACACACTCYGAACAGGAGATTTTCCAAACCAGGCTGAAATCAAATAAGTCTAATTTTAGTCARTCTAAACCCCCAATGCTTCAGACAAGATAAAAGTCTAAATAAAAAAAAATAAAAATCAGATTTATGTAGTTGATTTCCCTTGTAACTACTCTGACATGTCAAAACATGATTCTTTTTTTTAATTCTATTGCATAAAGATGTTATTTAATGATTTATCAGAAAGTCTACTTTCCAACTTGTTTTGACTGATGTAAAAATACTGTGCAAGATGTTTATCAGTATAAAAACTCAAACTCAAAGCTTTGAGTTTTACCTTAATTATGGATTGTGAATTTCAGAATCCATGTCCAAAAATAACTTTGAAATTTGCAGTTGAGCTGATTAAGAAAGTTCTCACTTGGTGCTAAATGTGTGAACGTCTTTATGGTTGATCTCTTTGGGTGATAATCCGCTCAGCTTGTAACGAGCTTGTTACAGAGTGTCCCGGTCTGTACTGCAGAGATTTATGGTCAACCATTAAAACAGSCTTTTTACCTTCCAGAAGTCATACCCTCACAGACACGGTCATTTACAATAAAACAACTTGCCGCGGTGTGAAGGAAGAAGAAAAAAATTACCCCTTTTACCCAATCATTCTCCTCGGTGGCAATTAGGTTTATGCATTTACTTGGGATGAATCCAAGAATTGCAAACGTAATGTGCCTAAAACAGTCTTGCTGACTGGAAATGTTTTTTTTTTTTTGAGTGCGTGTCCCTGAGTGCTTCGCGGTTGCAGGAACACACCAATACATTGATACAATATTCACTTTGTAGCTGTGTCAGGCAGGTGTTTGAAGCCCAGCATGTCCTGCAGGCCATAAAAAATGTTTTTTGAAATCACTGGATGAAGGCTCTTCTTTTAACGAGACAACAGTCCTGATAACGCCGACGTGCGCTCTGTTGAAATAATAATGCCTCTCGTTTGAACGCATCTCTGCCTTTAGATTCCAACAAAAGGTGATGAGATGTGCCGAGCTCATTAGTCTGCAGCGGCACTAACAGATCCCCAAACTGGATTACCTAACATCCAAGAGCAGGCAAATGGATTTTTCAACTCCTAATCCTTTGTAAATCTGAAATCTTTGGGAGTAAATGGACGGGGATGAATTTGATCACKGTGTCTGAATGAATGGATGCCTAATGGTTACTTCAGGGGCTTAGGCTGAAAGAATTACCCGTGTGAAATGAAGGTGTTAAGTGGAATCAAAGTATAAAGGCAGCACGTTCTGCTATCGAAAGAAACAATTGACACAAGAGTTTACATTGCAGCTCGTTCCCACTCTCGGCAGCTCATTGATCCAGCTCTATCAGCTGTTGGAATYAAGCTCCCTCATCAATAAAACTGTCATCACATTTTGCAGCAGCAATTAAACAGATGGATGATATCGTAATAGCAATAGTTATGGGAGTCACTGACTGGAATATTAATAATGATAAATACGGAAATAGTAAAAGACTTGGTCACGTTTGAGGTTTTTATCTTGTCCTTTGTCTTTGGGAGGAAAAATGATTTGACAAGCATAAATAACAAGATGACAAAAACGAAGCAACAGATGGTTTTCTTGGTACTAAAAACACAGCTAATCAAACCAATCCGTGTTYCCTAAAGGCTGGAATAGTTCTTGAAATATTTGATACTATCACATTAAACAGCACCATTTAACATCTTCAATTACAAAAGAAAGRAAAGAAAAAAGTCAAATTTCCTCTTTTTGTTTATTGCCCTCTGAGTCACATCAGCAACATCATCTGGCAGAAAAGCCCATCAGCAGGTCTTCGGTAGCACCTGAGCCAGGCCCAAAATGCACAGAGGCTTTTGTCTTCCACATCAATTTATATCACTTCATTAACAAAGGCAACATTTCCTCACAGAGCAGATGTTGTGCTGAAGTCGGGTTTGTTTGAAGTCGGAGCTGTTGGCTCTCCCGTGGATAGCAGGTCACTGCAATCATAAATTATAGACAAGATTCACATCATCACTTTGCTCAACGCAAACTACCTCATAGAACTCGAACACATGCAGGAAAGAGTTMACCAGCATGGGATAAATGCGCTCAAGCTTTGTACATAAAACATTAACATATCGGAAGAGATTAACTTGATAAATGCTACTCWTGGCACTCTATTACCTCCACTCGCAATAATACCATTCTGAACAACTGAGCAGTACTTTAAATGAACAGATTCTATGTTTTTGTTGCAGCTGGGACTTTCAGGCAGAACAGCGAGCGTCTGAAATCATTGGATGCCTCATGCAGAGACAAGGGCACCATGTCGAAGCAGAAGCTCGGTTGATAAACCATCTGAAACAAACTTCCATCTTGTTCGGGCTCATACTCTTGCATTGTTTGCTCCTTCACCGTAATTGAAAGCCCAGCCTTGTTCGGCAGCTCGGCCACGGCAGCCCGCAGAGCTGGGAAACCTCAGAGAACACAAAGGGGGGGCTCTGATCAATGCA